GGGGCCGCTCAGCGCCGCGCCGGGCTGCAGCGCCTCTTCCCGGGCGAGGGGCCCGCGGCGGCGGCGGGCGGCGGCGGGGGGAGGCTCCGCATCGCAGCGCCCGCGCACCACGCAGCGCCCGCCCCGCGCGGCCCCGGCCGAGAGCGCGCTCGGGGAGGCGGGGCGCCACGCCCCCTTCGAGACGGAGCCCCGTGAAGCCACGCCCCCCCCCAGGCCACGCCCCCAGACGCGTCCTGCCCGAGCGCGTCTCGGGGCGGCCATCCTCCGCCACCTGCGCTCCTTTCGTTGAGTGCTTCCAGCGCTGATTTTTTTCGCTATTAAGCGTAGCGCCCATCGGGGCCCGTTCTGGGGAGAACCACGCGGGTGGCTGCAAGAAAACCGTGCCCTGGTTTCTAGCAGTTGCCCATTGTGTAGCTGGAAACGCCACCTCCGAGAAGGTTAGATCGCAGAGGCGTCGAGTGCCTTGGGTTGGAAGGGTCCTTCAGGACCGTAGCAAACTGCTCAGGCAACGTCTGATGTCCTCGCCCACGCTGAGCTCTGGCATAGCTGCCAGCAGCTGCCCCGGCCCTATCGGGTTGCAGGGCGCTTTGCCAGGGCTGCTGGGGCCCCGCTGACATTCAGGTCACCTCCTGCTTGGGCTTCTGCCCCCACCCCGCTGTCCCAAAGCCAACAGTGGGACTGGGGTGCACATTAGGCTTGGGGAAGTGGGGGACTGTGGGGGTGGCTGTGAGCCCCCCAGGTGCTGCTGAGAATGAGGGCGTGTGGGGAGGAAAGAAAGTTGTGTGCCATTGCACGCAGCGAGACGTGGGAGAGAGCAATGCTTTGAGTAATCCCCAAAAAAATAAATGCCAGAAATAGTTATTCACAAGTGCATGGAAGCAGAACCATGCAAGTAATCCAATGGGAGTTGCAAATCTGAGGCTGGACAACCAGCAGCGGGGAGGTAGGTGCACATCCTTCCATCACAAGTTCCACCTTATGTGCCAGGCACCCCCATCCTGACCCCATAGGGCAGCCCCTGTCCTACATGCCCAACAAGCACCACAACAGCCTCACCCTCCAGCCCCCTCCGGCTGTACAGACACTGCTGGTGCTGGGGCGGAACTGTGCCAGGAACTTCCAGCACCCGCTGGGACAAAGGCACTTTGTGCAGGGCCAGTGGCATGGCTGTGCCTCACGATGTGCCCCAGGGAACAGGAACCCCCTACAGCGTGTTGCTCTTGGGGTCGAAGAGAAGGCAGAGCCACACAGGGACAGGGGATAACGTTGCAGCTGTACCTCCCCTGTGAGCCCTCTGCAGCTTTCTCTCGCGTCCTTCTCACCCGCACCATTCCTTCACACTCCTCCCAGACCTCTCACTCTCCTGCCACAAAGAAAAGTACTTCATTAGGAATAAGGCAGCCCAGCCAGTCCGGCCCCCAAGAAGTCACAGCACCCCAGTGGCTCTCCACATGCTTTATTTGCTCAGCATCCACCACAGCCACCCTGGAAGAAAACAGTGGCCAACAGTGGCTGTTCGCTTCTCCCTCTCCAGTCTTAAAACAGCTCCCAGAGGCAAGAAGCCTCTGGCAGAGGGTCTTTCCAGTCAGCCTTCTATATAAATACCTTCTCTATACCCTGTCCGACCAGCTAAGAAATGCCATCCGGCTCAAATCCCACTCCCCTCCTGAGAACGGCCCCAAGCAGTCAGAGCAGAAATTCAGCACGCAGAACACACAGGCAGGGTGGGAGCTGTGCAGGAGCGGAGAGAAAAGGGAGCACCTGAACGAGGCAAAGCCTCAGACCTTGCAGAGAGGGGGACAATTCCTGAGCCACCTTTCACCAGGTGGTGCCTCCACATCGCTCTCACCCCTGCAATAACCCCGAGGCAGCTCCCCTCCTCCAGAAGCATCACCCGGCCATCAGGAGACAGCAGCAACCCGGTCCCACAGAACAGGACGGCCCTGCACAGCACACCGGGAGTCATGGCTTCCAGGCCATGGTGGGGTTGCGGGTCGTCCACAAGGCCCACCTCGCCAGGAGTTCCCTCCCTGTACCTAAGTTTCCACCACAGGGAAAGGGGCCCATTAGGAAGCAGAAGGGCCCTGGTTAGTAGCGTGGCCCCTTCGCTCCCGGAAGCTCCCGCGCCTGTCAGCAGCCCCGCACAGAGATGGGCCCCCAGCTAAGCCCTGTCTGGGCCGGGGCTCCCCACACCTCCATCACTGGCTCTCGGGCAGACCCAGCGCTGTGCCACTGCCTGGGCCGTGCTTGGAGAGCTGCCGCAGGTCCCGCACCGACCTGACGGCCCACTGGGCCAGCTCCCGCAGCACCCCCAGGCCCCGCAGCTTCTGCTCAAAGAGGCTGAGGCGTGGGGGTGCAGGGGGCTCGGAGCCCTCCTCAGCGGGGGCCCCGCGGCTCTCCAGCTCCAGCAGCTCCTCCAGGTGGTAGGCAAAGGCCGAGACCTGCAGCAGCACGGCCGCCAGCGCCGGGCCCAGCTCAGCATCGGCGTCTCCCAGCTGCTCCCGCTGCTCCTCCAGCATCTGTGCCAGCAGTGTGCGGAAGGCCCGGTAGGCTGCCAGGTTGTCCAGGAGGCGCTGGGTGCCGGTCTGCTCTGCCCAGCGCTCTGCCGCTGCCGCCGGCACCCCATCCACCGCCGCCACGCTGATGGAGGCGTCCAGGCCCTGCCGCTCCACCTGCGGGACAGACAGCTGGGATGGATGCCGGCATAAGGGTGGCCTCCAGCATCCCGCCCTGAGGAGTCTCGCGGCAGCAGCCTCCCGCCTGCACTCCCAGCTCCGAGAGCAGGGCAAACTCACGTAGATGTCCAGGAGGTCGGTGACGTCTGAGCGCATCTTCCTGGCCAGGCGGATGCCGCGGCTGCACAGGTCGTGGTGCCGGAGAGTGGCTGAAGGGGTGTCTGCTGCCGCCATGGCCCAGGCGGCCGTCCCAGACTCACGGCGCAGTGCCCGCGCAGCCCCGGGAGGACAATCCCTTGCTGAGCTGGTGCATTCCAGCCGGGAGCTCTGCTCACGCGTCCGCTGGCCCGGCTCTCCCCCTCTTCCGCGCCTGGGGCCTGGCACGACACTGCAGATTCCCGCCTCTGGGATCAACAGCAACAGATTATTTCCCTAATTCCCCACGCTTTGCCACTCTAAGCTTGTCGCCCAAAATGCTCTCACCCGGCAGCGACAGGCTCCTTCCCCGCGGCACAACGAGCCCCGCTCTAATCCCTGGCTCAGGCCGGAGCACGGGAAACCGCTGCCGGGAAGAGGTGAGCAGAGCCGGGACGTTGCTCAACAGCTCAGCCCAGGCAGCAGGCTGGGGCCGGAGCAAGGCGCAGCGCTGGGGACAGAGCGAGGCCCAGCCGGGGGCTAGGATACCCCTCACTCTACAGCCTGACCCCAGCAGCCGCCTCCCTCCTTTTTCCTCAAGGCGGTGGGAGCCCCCGGACACCCCTACCCCAGAGGTATGTCCCACAGCAGCAGCCCCTCAGCACGAGTACCACACACAAACAGCCCTTGGGGTTGGTTTGTTTTCCTCAATACATTTATTTTGGTTACGTGTTACCCAGATGAAAAGAAAAACAGAGTAGAAAAGCAGCTTCCCTTGGCCACCACAGCAGCACCCAGCACCAGGCACCACAGCCCCCACAGGGCCCCCATAACCTGCACCCATCTCCTCCTACATCTCAGGGTTTTTACTGGGGTCAGGGCCCCGGCTTCCTTTCCAGGAAGGAGAACAATAAAATAAATACAGGGGAAAAAAATACAAAAAAAGTTTATTGCAAACTACTACAATAATTTATTGAAGCAAACTGCATGCGAGTGAAGGAGAGACACGCAGAGGAGGAGCTGCAGGAGGGCTGTGTCAGTTGTAGCGTTTGAGACAGAGAAAGGAGTTACATCAGACTCTGCCGCACTGAGGGCGAGCACGCTGTGGTTAGAAGACAGACAGGCAACTTGCTGAGACAGAAAAAAAAAAAAGGGAAGCAATGAGGGCATGGGAGGGTAAGGCAGGGACCAGAGGGGTTCAGGCCAGGAGCAACACAGGAGGCAAACGAGCCACTCAGTCCTGCACCCCACAGCACGTAGCAGTGCTTGGGGCAGGGGAAGGACGAGGCCTCGCCTCCTGGCCAAGCCCGGCATTGCATCACCAGCTGCAAGCAAGCTCCTGACCCAAAAGCATTCATTTTAGTGTCAGAGAGCAAACCCCAATCTCTCCCATTTCATTTAGTGTTCTGTGCAAGGCTCTGCCTGCCACGCAACGCTCCCTGGAGTGGTGGCAGGGCACGTGAAGCAGCTCCCAACTTGGGGGATCGATCTGCAGCTGCCAGCTGGCATGGCACAGTGCAAGCTGCGTGCTCCCCTCCTTAATTCCCCTGGATAGAAGAGCCACACTGCTGGGGATGAACCCACCTCTGTGCACTGCATGGTGCCCCTTCAGTTAGCAGTGCTTCACAAAGGGAATTCCAGCTTGACCCAAGCAAGAAGCAGGCCATGCCAGCTAAAGCAACTGCTTTGTTTAGTGTACTCCCACACCACCGTGCCAGGAGTGCTGTGCTCAGCCTTCCACTCACCCTCCAGCTCACACACACAGGAGCCACAGTACAGGACCAGCGAACGCCCACACCCAGGGCACAGACCAACACAGAGCATCCCTGCAACAGCAGCGCTCTGCCTTGCTCCAACACAGACTTCAATGTCAGTGGGAAGGGAAAGGGGAAATCAGGACAAGTGGCCCAGTAAGTGCTGTCAGACTTTGGGCTACAGCTGGATTTCCAGGCAGCACAGGCGACAGAGTGGGCGTTTGGAGTCAGTTTCCTGTCAAAACTTTCCAATTCAATTCCGTGTTTTATTGCTGATCTCCAGACCCCAGATACTTGACTTTGCCTGGCTGCTGTTACAGACCGGTTCTGCTGAACTCAGGCTTGGACAAAGCACTTCAGCTCTGTTCCCAGCACATAAACACAACTGAAAAAACAAGTAAACTGACAGAAAGCCCAGGTTATTGGTCACCTCTTCCAAACACACAAAGAATTCAAGGCCACCTAGTCTCCACACACAGCTTCAGATAACAGAGCAAAAAGATCCGAGCCTAAAGACCAGATGTCATTTCCTATGCAAATTCTTCCACAGGCTCTGAGCTGTCCTAACACACCAGCAGGCAATGACCACCCCAGGGAGCAGAGATGGCTGAGCACAAGAGAGGGGCTCAGCGCAGCACACCCCATTGCAGAGGCACGGACAAACCGACAGCCTCTACTCCCACATCAGCCCACTGCCTTGGATAGATGAGCTAAAGACAACCATACCCGATCTCTGCAGAGGAGCACCACTGTCCTGGGCCATGAGAACAAGTATCCTGACTAATGCTGTCCTTCCTGGCAAGGCGAGGGAGTAAGGGGAGCAAAAAGAGCTGAGCTGGGAGGGAAGGAGGGAGATGAGAGGCGGTTGTGCCATCACTCACCTCATCCTCCTGCTAAAACGCTGCTGCAAGGACTCCACTGCTCTTCTCTGGGGCTCTCCCTCTGCTCTGGAAAGCCATGAGGTCTGACTGCAGCACGCTGCTTTCACCCCAGCTCTCCGAGCTGCTGTTACATGGCATGCACACTCCCTGCGGCTCTCTGGTGGGAAGGAGCCTGCTGGGAAGCAGCCTGAACCCCTGCCACCCCACCCGCCAAGAACATAACTAAAAAATACCGACCCTTTTATCAATAAATAAGGAATCTCGTTACCACAACACAAAAACGAAACATGTTCAAAGTGCAAATTACTGTCGTCAAACCGGGATGCTCCTCCTTGCCTCTCCCACGCAGGGCTCCCGTAGCCCCCGGGCCTCTCCAAGCAAACATGATCTATGAGCCAGGGCGTTCCCTCTGCTTCCTGCCAGGGATGGGGCCAAGTGTGGTGGGGGACAGGGACTCCTTCGCAGCCTGCCCCGCTGAGGGGGCCTAAAGTGCCGAGCCAAACTCCCAGCCCCGGGATGAAGAGTGAGGCTGCGAGGACTAGAGTTGCAGAAATGCATAGAAGTGGGACCACGGGGCAAAAAGGGAGTCCTAAGAAACTTCTCCAGAGCACACCAAATGCTTCCTAGCTTGCAAACAGGGCCAGGTCAAAGAGCCAGAAAGGCATCTACTTCGGGGTAGAGCGAAGGGTTTCAGCCTTCCCCCTCCCTCGGAGAAATCTGTCACTCAGTCCAACTTGCTCTGGTAATGGCAGCGCGCGCCCCTTTTCTGCAAAGGAGCTGTGGGAGACAGAAGTGGTTGGGAGAAAGAGGATGTGCTGTGATCCACGCTGAGGGGAGCAGACCCTTCGGTTACTTACTAGTATTTTAAGTTTTGTTTAACTTTTCTCTCTTTCAATGCGTCTCCATTTTTTTTTTTTTTTCCTTTTAAATAGAGTCCAAACAGTCCCAGCACCCACGTGCTCCCCACCCACTAGGGTCCAGTGGAGTCTGAATCTTCGATGAGCACCTCCGTGGTGGCTCCCAGGATCTCTGTGTTCATCACCAGCCCTTCAGGGTTGGCGCTGCTGCCGCTGCCTACAAAGAGCTTGCCGTCAGCCACCAGGCTCACACGCTCCGCCCCGCCGCAGTACGTCTTCGGCATCCCATCGGGGTTCAGCAGCAGGCAGTCGGTCGGGGCAGTGCTGCCCAGGGGGTCAGGAAGAAGAGGGAGGCCCTGGCCATCGGTGGGCGGCGCGATGGCCTCGGGGTTAGTGCCCAGAATGTCAGTGCTGGTGATCAGGGCACCCGCGTTGGCCGCCAGTGCTTCAGCAATAAGCACTTCTGGGTGGCTTTTGGCTTTGTGGGCCACGACACTGTCCTTCTTCTCAAATTTCTTGCCGCAAATGTTGCAGGAGAACTGGTAGAAGGAGTCCGCATCGTGTTTCTTCATGTGCCAGTTGAGGGAAGCTTTCTGCCGGCATGTGAATCCACAGATCTCACACCTGGGGAAGGGAGAAAGGGGAGGTCACAACACAGCAACATCGGCACACGTCTGTGGAAACTGCTGGAGCAACGAGGCAGCCCAGGAAAAGAATGGGCTCTGATCAACACAGGCTGTCACTGTAGTGCCAGCTCTTCCTGTTATATCACTCATGCTCCTCAGATCTCTGCTGAGGCACTGCCTCGAGGACCAAGCAGCACTTCAAACGCTCCCACAGAGGTGCGTTTCAAGAGGGCCAGGACTGCACAAGTAGGTTCCAGCCCTGACTTCAGAGCTGCCCTTGCGCTCGGTGTGCATGTATCTAGGGGTCGCTCAAAGGAGGAGAGCCAAAAAGTACTCACTGCAAGGGCTTCTCGCCTGTATGGATCATTCGGTGCACCGCCAAGTTATGAGAGCTCTTAAACGCCCGGGCACAGTACTCACAGATGTAGTCCCTTTGATCTGAAAAGCAACACCAGCCAGAGCATTACTCTCCTGCAGACCTGCTCCCTCTCCCTGCTCTCATGTGCTGCAGGTAAAGCCGCCCACAAAGCAGCAGAAGCAGAAATGCTGGGAGGCCTGCAGGCACAGCAAAGGAAGTGGCATCCCACAAGACACCACAGTAGCTTGATCTGGAGAGCTAAGGCGTGATAGAAGAGTCTTAATCCATTCTGACCAATACTGAAGGAGTGGTAAATTAGGATAAAGCTTGGCTTGTTTGATTGTTGGCAATACTTGCAACGATACTTGCCAGTGGGTGAATTAGGAACTCTATAGCCCATTTCTGTCATTCCCTTAGAAGATGGTAACACAGAAGGGAATATTACCCTGCCATTGCTGCACATCCCTACCGTTTGCTCACCTTCACTCCCACCTCAAGCCGTGGGCATTTTTCTTTTTGCCTCCCTGCACTGTTCACCAACCCAGCAAGAAGCCAAGATCCTCCTCCTCCCCATACCTGTGTGGTGCTTGGCATGCCGCAGGAGCTGCTTCTGCAGTCGGAAGAGCCGACCACAGGAGGGATGGGGACACACATACTTTTTCTTCAGCAAGTGTTGGTACTTGATGTGATGCTGAGAAAGAAAAGCGAAAGGCTGTAAGCTCTCTTTTTGATTGGCTAAGGAGGAGGCTGAGGCACACTGATCCCAGGTGGCCCCTTGGCAGGGCATCAAACACCAGTCACTAACAAGACACCCTTACATGCAGAGGAGAAAGCCCAATGAATGTAGACATCCAGTAACAGGACAGACACAGAGACATGTGGCCTGATGCAAACTGCCATTCCCTGCCCTCACACAGACAGCATTCAAGAAGTAGAAAATCCCAAATACCTGCAGGTAACGCGGGTGGGCCAGGACTGTGCCACAGCCTTCCATCTCACAGCGGACGTACTGTATTGGAGGCTTCTTCCTAGGAGGTCAGTAAGAAAATGAGCAGTGATCAGCTGACACA